AGAAGAAAAGAAAAGAAAAGAAAAGAAAAGAAAAGAAAAGAAAAGAAAAGAAAAGAAAAGAAAAGAAAAGAAAAGAAAAGAAAAGAAAAGAAAAAAGAAACAGGACTTAAATCTCTAATGTATCAGTTGTTTGAGAATAAATAAGTTTCAGGAGAGCGCATGTGCTTCACGTGCAGAAACAATATGTCCGGGTATCAAAAACAACCCTCTCCCTCCCCGAAAGTCCCGGTCAACCACAAAAAGTAGCTGTAACTTCCTGGTGGCTATCTATGTGTATATGCATATCCCCCAGACCCTCGGGCACTCAAGCTTTGTACCGGAAAGGTTCCTCGTTGTTCCAATAAATTGGTCTCAGTCCATCGAGATCGTGTCTGCCTCATTTTCTTTTTACAATGAGAGTCACAGGTGCTCTGGGTAGCTGGACCCTGAGACACTGCAAGGAGTGTGGCAAGATTTTAGGAAAAGAGTAGCAGTTAGAGACCCAGTGTCCTAACCTTCACCATCCACGCAGGTCCACCCCGCCACACACATCTCCTCGTAGAAGCCGCAGTTGGAATCCCAAGGTTCCCCACGACCCTCTCTCTGCCTACAAAGTCCAGAAAGCAGAGATCACCTGGGCTGAGGGTGCCCAGCACGGAGCGCTCAGCAGGGGACAGGACTGCGGCTGTGCCTGCTGACCCAGCTCCACCCAGCAGGACCCGGGCAGCGCTGCCCAGCACAGCCCGGTGAGTCACAGACGCAGACTCCGCTGCCTTGGATGTCCCGGTCCCACAGAGCATCCCTTCTCCTCACATTCACGATGAGGGCAGAACGTACCATTTCCAGCCACTGAGTGTCCTGGTGTCCCCCTGCCGCTCCTGCTGTCAGTGAAGGCGACTTTGATTTCTAGGCCTTGGATCTAAGATCTGCTTATAAAGAACACATACATGCATGGGATCTAATATCTACTTACAAAGAACACATACATGCCTGAGGCGAGGAAACTAACAGACCTGCAGGCAGCTTTCTGCACCTAAGAAACACACTCCTCATTGGCCAGTTCACGCACTCAAATAATTTTCTGATAGGCCAGCGAGCCCTCGGCCAGCTCAGGTCCTGGAGCTCTAATGACAAGAGACAAGTTTTTCTAGGTGAAACAGCGAGGAAATTATGCGCTCTGTGCCCTAGCTTTCTTTCTCCATCTGGGGGAAAGTGCATTTAAGCATAATTTGTCCAGGCCTCCACTTGCTAATAACAATTCCTATTTCTTCCGCCTCAGTGGGGTGACAGCAAGTGTTTAGAGAATTCCAGACTCAGTTGCCATGGAAACAATTCAAAAGGCTGCATTGAACAGACTGGTCCCGCTGAATAAGGAGGGAGGGCCTCATTAAAGGAAATCCCCTGTCCCCATCGCCCCAAAGCCCACCAACCTGCTCAAGACTTCAGGGAACCTTCTTCCCACAGTTTTAAAAAAACAGGCAATGTGGTTTGCCTTTCACTCTGCAATTTCCAGAGAGACAGAGACAGAGAGAGAAAGAGAGAGAGAGAGGGCGGGAGGGAGGGAGG